AAGGAGAGCGCCGTATTGCTTTAATCAAGGCCACGATAATCAAGGGCCTACCACTTCCCCGGCAGGCAAATCGATCGCATCAAAGAGGAAGTCGTGGACCTCAATGAGCACGCTCAGACCAACCAACAGGAGGTCGAGAAATGCATCGATGCAGTCGAGGCGAATATCGGCAAGGCACGACTGCTCAAAAACGCGGATTCCTGAAGGTGAGACTTACAGTAGTTAGACTCCCTGCGTCCCTCTCCTCTTTTTTTGCAGGGGCAGCCACCAAGAAGGAGATCGGCGACTCCAGGAAGACGCCCATTCAGAAGTGCCGAGTCAATTGAAGGTAAGGACACGGGCATCATCGCCCACGTTCGCAGCACATCCAATCAAACATCGCCCCGGGAAGCCAACGACAACAAACGGGAATCTGAGGATGTCCTCAAGAATAACACCACCATCACCAACCAGCTCGGAAGCGCAGAGGTCAACATCGCCGAGATTGGCCTGGGCTCGAGGGAGACACCCAACTCCAAGATCTATTCAAGCAGGCCCAGAAGACCGCCACCCCTGAGAGCGACTGAGCAAAGCAACATGCAGAGGTAAAGACGCCAACAGCGCGACGATGAACATCGATGAACATGGCCAGCCACAAAGGGAAGCGTCAGCAGCAGATGGGCGACAAGGGACGCAGGGCGGAGTGCGAGATGGCGGGGGACCATGCAAATACTAAGCACGGACAGGACGAGCTAGGAGAAACATTCCACCAGGACAACCACAAGATGGAGCAGCTGCGCACTGGACTCGAGGACCCGCAGCGCAGGGCTAACTTCAATTGAGAAGTCCCTTCTTTCCGGATGCACCGCACGGGCGCGTGCAGGACATCGTTGACAACGACGACACCCTCAAGATGAATGTGCACCTGCATGAGGACGCCGTCGCCAAAATTTGGAAGTGGCAGCGCTGCGCAGAGAAACTCGATCAAGGAGTACCATCGGGCGCTGTGAGCCAGATTGCGCCTGCCACGGGAACAAGCCGAGGCGCAGGTGTTGGCGGACAACCCCGAGGGCGCCAGCGAGGACGCGGAGAGATCAGGAAAGCAACCGCGACGTCGAACGACAGATGCGCATCAGAGATAACCCGACAGGCCATCCGGCACGGCAGAGGATGGGCCCAACCGCCAGCGGCTGCCGGAGGTCCGAGGCCCAGTCCCCAGGAGCAGCTCGCGCAGACAGGGGGGGCAGCGCCAGCCGGCTGCCCCGACGGGCCGAGGCGGGGCTTCAGCACGGCAGCGCGACAGCCGCAGAGGTCTCGGCCCACCGAGAAGCAGAGCGCCCGCGGAAGAGCTGCGTCACCAGACGCCCAGAGCATGGCGGCACGACTGCCTGGACTCGGGGAGGCGAAGGCCCACGCGAAAAAGGTATGATAGCGCCTTCGACACATGGGGATCATTGGCCATCCAGCTGTCAGAGAAAATGATGTGCGCGCCTGCGCACGGATCACGTTTTCGCCCACGTCGGTGGCCACCCTCGTAACGAGTTGGCAGGCCTTGTGGCAAAACGACAATGCAAGCGAGGCGATCCCAACCCGCGGTCGTAGTGTGCCGCAATCTTCGACGCCTCGAGGCAACGGAAATTGGAGTGGTTACAAGATGCCATAAACGATGTCAAGCAGGCCTACCCCACCTGCACAGAGACTGGGTTGAAAGCGGCGGCACCAGCCGTTTCGAGTCATCTTGACACGCGTTGACGATTTTCTGTACTTAACTCGAGATTTAGGAGAGCTACAGAGCTGGTGCTTACAGAAACCGATTCAAAATCATCAGACGCGTTCGTCTGTTGCACCCAGAGGTCTGAACTCGGTCTGCTACTCGAGCTAGGTGCGCGAAACTGTTCGTATTCTTCGAGTCATCTTGACAGGCGCTGTCGGTTTTCTGTACTTAACTCGGGCTGTAGGAGAGCTACAGAGCTGGTACGCACACGAATCGATTCAGAAAGGGGGGGCAACGCCAGCCGGCTGACCCGACGGGCCGAGGCGGGGCTTCAGCACGGCAGCGCGACAGCCGCAGAGGTCTCGGCCCACCGAGAAGCATAGCGCCCGCGGAAGAGCTGCGTCACCAGACGCCCAGAGCATGGCGGCACGACTGCCTGGACTCGGGGAGGCGAAGGCCCACGCGAAAAAGGTATGATAGCGCCTTCGACACATGGGGATCATTGGCCATCCAGCTGTCAGAGAAAATGATGTGCGCGCCTGCGCACGGATCACGTTTTCGCCCACGTCGGTGGCCACCCTCGTAACGAGTTGGCAGGCCTTGTGGCAAAACGACAATGCAAGCGAGGCGATCCCAACCCGCGGTCGTAGTGTGCCGCAATCTTCGACGCCTCGAGGCAACGGAAATGGGAGTGGTTACAAGATGCCATAAACGATGTCAAGCAGGCCTACCCCACCTGCACAGAGACTGGGTTGAAAGCGGCGGCACCAGCCGTTTCGAGTCATCTTGACGCGCGTTGACGATTTT